TTCTAGAATTTTTTTTAACAAAACTATTTTTTTTTTTTTTTTTGATAAACACATAAATTGACTTTATTTTTCAACTGTGTGTTATACAACAACTGATAAAAAGAGTGAGTCAGTCATTATTCAAAATGATTAAATGGAACATAAAATTAAATTAAAATTTCAACTTCTAGAACACACTTTTACTAATAAAATATTTTCTAAGAATAATGACATTATAACACATGTCCAGTGTAGTACTCTGAAAATATAAAGATTTATACCGGTATTATGAAAGAAATGCCTTTTTTCCTATTTTGGGTGTTTCATTGCCTTTGGATGAGTACTGGCAGTAGAAACAATACAGTTCGCATCTAATGGTGCAGATTACCAGGGGAAGCATCAGGCCTGAGAGGGACTCTCTGTGTGTTGCCCTGATTGCACCTGGTGGCATGAGTCATCAGGGGTGTGATTGGGGCATTAGATATCTCGCAAAAGTTACCATTTTTTTTCGATAATTTATATATAATAATGGCTGAGGGCATGAGCAGTCGTTAAACTATCGAAAAAAATGCTTACTTTTGCGAGATATCGAATGCTCCGATCAGACCCCAGGTATGAAAATAACTTTTTATTGAGAATCAACATCCTCTATTCCCGCATCAAACTTCTGGATTTCTCGAATTTTTTTCCCAACGTGTCGAGATATCAATGTTGTGCAAATCGTTATGTTAGTATCATGTCTTAATTTAAATTTAGTTAGTTTTATATGTACATGTACCTTTGCGTACATGCGTTATAGTCCGCTGTCTGAGAGTACCAAGATCAGAAGGTAGTTACCTGTGTTGTGAGTACCACTCGCTGCTGGATCCTCTAGTTTTGTCGTCCTCGCACGAGCTTGAGTAAAAATTTCTTTCTCGTTTTTAGACAACGTCTCCCTATGTATGCGACAATCGTGCTAAGCTACCACCCGAATTTTTTTTTCGCTTAATTTATCTCTCTTTGATCAACACATTCGCGATTTAATATCTCTCGAACCCTCAGACTCGTAGACGCTTCTTTAATCCTTCGTTATCGATGCTCTACTTCTCGTTCTTCGTTTGCGCGCAACAAGTTGGCATTCCCACTGGCATGCGCGTCACAACATAAACACTCTGCTTCCTACAGAATTGAAAACTTTGCTAATTAATGTCGAGTGCCGCTACAAAATGAAAGTATCACACTAATAAATTAAAAAATTAAAAAAACAAAAAAAAACAATACAAGTTCCAAAACACGTAGCTTTTAGGCAAGTCTGTTTCGAAGAAGTGCCTTGTAGTTATATCAAAGTATAACCAACTTTTATGAATATATGTAAATCGACTTTTAAAAATGTAGTTGTTCTTTTTGCTCTATTAAAAATTGTAGCGATTGTGCCTTGGGAGCTATAATTATATTATTTGCATAAATTCAGCCCCTTGTTGATTATTTTGAATTGATTAGATACAGGTACGAAAAATAAACAATCTGCCCAAGTACCTGAACGGAACTGTTTATTTACTGTAGTATTATGATAAGAGGGTTTATTTTTTTTTTTTTTATCAATAGAAATGAATATCGAATGAAAGTTGGATGATTTTTTAGGCACTTGGTAGGTACCCACAATGTAAAAGACAGAAACTAGGTGGTCAATACGCTGTACTTGACGTGCACTTCCTGATAATTTTGCATTTTCACTTACCAAGTACTAGTTGGACATTAATTGTTTACTAGACACGTTATTAGTGGTCACTAATCTTGTACTTGACAAGTACGTGATTACTTGGCGATTACTACGCAAGTACTTGACGCACACTTAGCAGCCTATTGGTGGGTACTTACCAGATTCTAGTTGGGTACTTACCAGTGACTAGACAACTACTTTAATATTACGTATTTGGTACTGGATAAGTACTTAAGGGCCAATATACGAATACTTGACAGGTACGTGTCCGTTATTTTTCGAGCTATTGGTGAGTACTTGCCTGGTACCTGATGGTACTTGGGGGTTAATGAAAGGTACTCGATGGTTACAAAACGAATAATGGATAGGTACGTTGTGATTACTTGGCGATCACTACGCGAGTACTTGATGCAAACTTAGCAGACTCTTGGTGGGTACTTACCAGGTTCTAGTTACTTATCAGGTACTTGAAAAGTACTTAACGGTCAATATATCAATTCCTGAAGGGTACATGGCCGTCATTTTTCAAGCGATTGATGAGTGCTTGATAGGTATCTGAAAGGTACTTAGGGGTTAATGAAAGGTACTCGAAGGTTCCAAAACGTATACTTGATACCTCCATGGTGATTACTTCGAGGTTACTACGCGGGTACTTAAAGCCCACTCGGTAGCCATTTGGTATGTACTTATCAAGTTCTAGTTGGACACTTATCGGACATTCGTTAGTGGTCATTTATCTCGTACTTAACAAGTACGAGGTGATTATTTGGCGATCACTACACGAGTACATGACGCACACTCAGCAGCTTCTTTGTGGTTACCTACCACGTTCTAGTTGGGTACTTAACGGTGGCTAGACAGGTATTTTGTGGTTACTTAGCGGGTACTTGACAATCACTTAACGGCTACGACACAGATACTTGATGGGTACTTGGGCGTGATTTTTTGACTACATGTAAGGTACTTGACAGGTATCAAATGGTTACTTGAGGGTACATTTAGAATCATCAATACGTGCGTGGTATGTACTTGGTGGGTACTTAATAGGCATCTGATTAGTTTGTACTAGGTACTTAGTGGGATACATGTTCTTAATATATATTGTCAATTATCTTCAAAGTGGCCACTTAGTACCCAACTAGTGCCTACTAAGATCCTGTTAAGTGCCTAGAAAGTACTCGCTGATTCCCTGCCAAGTATTAAATAAATAAGCGTTAGGTATCTGCTCAATTCTTTTAAGTACTCATCAAGTACTTTCCAGTTTTATAGTATGTAACTTCTTAGTAACTCTCAAATGCCTGCCAAGTAATCAGAAAGTACCCTCCAAGTTCTTTTTAAGTGCTGGTTAACTGTCCACTATATACCTCTTAAGTACCTGCTCAATTTCCACCAAGTGCCTATTAAATACTTACCTTGTACCCGATGACTTCCCGTACATTATTTTGCAAGTACCCAGTAAGTGCCCCCAAATGGCCATCAAGTATTGCTCGATGCTTTTTAAAATTTCTGTATTTCATAACCTTAATTACTAGCACTACTTAATTACTACTTAATTGTGTAAATTTGTACTCTTAGTTAGCAATCATGAAAATTCTGAGTTACTATGATTACTTAATCATAAAAAGTTTACAATTTTTCAGCATGCTGAGTAATGGTAGTTCTAAATTATTCAATACTAAGTCAATATTAAAATTTTTGCTGAACTATTCATTTATGGTAACGTATTTTATTATGTACTAAAATTAAGGTTCCACACTCACAAGGGTACCTTATTGCAAACTCATTAGAGCAACGCCTCTTAGCTACAAGAGACGTAAAATTGGCTATTTAGCCAGAAAGCTCCTTACTATGAAGTTGTTTATTAGTACCAAAACAACCTCTGAGGTAGACGTATTTTCTTGATGCACTTCATCTTATTTAATATAATTTTAACGTAATTTTAACGTTATGAAAACTATTTTAATTAAATATTGGCACATACGTATGTTAAACAGCGAAAAACATCTTGTCCAAATATTTCATAAGTTAAGTCTATATTTTTAAAAATATATCTCGAATTTGTTTCTTTGAAATTGTAAAATCAAGTTTTTCTAATCTACTGATACAAAAAATCATTTTTAAAAACTTTCCATCATTATTTACTTAACTATGTTGACGTCTTGTAATGTATACGTTTCACAAGTACTTACTATTACTTTATCGTTTTCGTTCATTACCTCGTGCTGGGCTACGTAAACTCTACAACTATAACTATAGAAACTTGAACCATGCCCAAGCAAAATCATCTAAAATCACAAAGAGTACTAAAGATAGTCGTAATAATAATCCCTGCGCGCAAAGCTGCAAATTAGATAAATATTATCCGACGTTTAAGGCAAGGAGGATCCGCAATCATCTCGGTGAGCCATCATCATCTAATAATTCATCCCCAACATCACCATCATTATCATTTCTGTCCAGACCTTTTGAACGCACAGCGGCCTTAGATAAACAGGTGGGCGCTGGGAAACCAATTTGCATAGAGAATCGCGCGTGTACACACATACGCGCACTCGCCGCTTGGTATGGCTCAAAGATACCTACTTATACCCTCGTATAAAAGCCTCCCTCGTGCGAAGTGCTCAAGTGGAGTGGAGGGGAAAAAAAATATCAGTAACTCGTCGAGGTTAAATGCGGAAGAGGGATGCGTATGTACACCTACTATCTATGCTGCAGAAACGATTTACACGCGAGTAAGAACTCAAATTAATACGCTAGGGCAAAGGTAAAAGGAAAAGAAACTCTAAATGAGGTATTCTGTCGGTCCTTTGATTTGTGACCGTTGGCTTATATGCTCAAAAAGGCTGTAGGTACGGCAAGAGAATACATTAATCTCCTCTTCATGATGCAAAATTAAGCGCACACTGAGAATAAAATATGCGCTTTCTCGTTAAGCATTTGTTTCGCTATATCTCACAGCCGTGTAGAAAAACAGAGAAGGAAGAAATGAATGAAGACCCAATAAACTTATACTTTACAATTCTTAAAACAATGACCTTGTATGTCTTTGAATAACCTTGAATAAATAACTTTTTTTTAAACAAGGCAAGTAACTTGCGCAACGTTTCAATGGTTTGGGGTTAACACACCTTGCATTTGTAAATAATATCACATGTATCGTTTATAAATGATTTATTTGCCAGCTATTTAAGAATATAATACATAAAGTCCTCCCATGAAGCAGTTTTAACCAATGTGTACATAGTCGAGCATCAACCCGTCAACAATGCCAAATTGGTCAAGTTCTTCAGAGGTGCACAGTACGTGATCATATTGTACATGCACAGAAAGCTAAAGCAATAATTTCCTCCTTTGAGTTCAACGAATTGATCGATGGGATCTACGAGAAAGCTTACACACTCATAATTGAACACTTCAACTCCACTAACCATCCCGTTCAGACCAAGTCTCTTGACCCTAGTCTCGACCTTACCTCTGGATATCGAGACAAGCAAGGAAGTACCGTCCATCAAATTGTAAAGCCTTTTTGCGGTTGTGGAAGACTTCGGATTCGCAAGGACAAAGACTGCCTTAACCTTGAGCCGGCGATCGAACTTGACGCACTCAGTGAGGGCTTCGCTATTGTCCACGTGACAGCAGACACCGATGTCGTTGTTCAGGACAGAAGACGCCTGGATGTAGCCCCTCAGGCGTTTACGCACGACGACTCGAAGGTTGGAGTTGAGGATCGACAATGTGGAGGTCGCGGTCGAAACGTAAGCGTAGCCGCTGGCTGAATCGAACTCCACCAGAGGGGAGAGCTTCACGAGATCGAAGTCAGTCTCGTTGGTTGCGAAGTTGAAGTTCAGGGTGGACTGTCGGTCGCCTTTTGGGCTAAATCTGGAATTATCGAGACATAAGAGAAAATTCTGGTCGTTCTATATGATTGTAAGCGTTTTTTGTCTTTTAATACAAGGGGAAAATTAAGACTTGTAGTCGGTTAAAACTATGATTGCGCATTTCGTTTAGGCATCGTATGTTATACTCGGACATCAAATTTTGTTTGCTGTTAAATAAATAACCAATTTAAATTATCTCGTAAACAAAATGATAGTGTATCGATATGCAATTTTACTGTTTTGGTAGCTGGTATTTAAACAAATATTTAAAACAAAAGGTGCTTTAGAAAATATAAGATAACTTTTTTTTCAATTATTCTGTCATTTATACGTCAATTAACATTAAGGATTCGAATGAGTACTTTCTAAATAATTTAAGTTCGTAATTTAATTTACCATAACGTAAATAGCTTTTTAGAAAGATTCACACACCCGGGTTTCAAACTAATAGTACTTTGGGTGAAAGTAAACGATGTTATCGACAATCCCAACCAAGCAGAGTTTTAAAACCACATTCTGCTAGTTCAAATTCACGAAGTGAAAAAATAAATATACGTATCTCGGTCATTTATTGCTTGATATCCACTTTTTATACGTAAAGTCCTTCTGTTGGTAGAAATGCTTACAAAAACTTTTTGAAAGAGGTCAGGAAGTAACCCCCCGGTGTCTACGCACGACGAATTAAAAGTTGGAGTGGAAGAACAAATACTCATCTCGGTCACTTATAACTTCATTTCTACTGTTTTTTATTTAAGGTAGCGTGATAATTTGGCAACAATGATAAGCTACGTGGAAAATAACTATTGATGCTGGATACCTTTTGTTCAAAACCTTAAGCCCGTTAATTTTAATGCTATCTTATGTCTTGGCTTTTACAATTTCCATGTCTTTCTTGCACAAATCATGGAAATTTATAGTGTTGACATCGCTCATTGCGTTTTTTATTTTTTAAAGGACGTTTAGTACACAAAAATCATAAACCAATCTAGTATTTATTTACTGCCAATATGAATTGAGTGCTTAATTTTTTCAAGTTATTTATTTTGTTCGAGTATGTGAACTTGCACGGTTTTGCTCAGTACATCAAACTTTCAATCGTGGATTTCCATATAGTTTCCCCTTTTTTTAAACCTTCCTTTGCACGGCGTTATAAATCGTGAAATTGTAAATTTCCTAATCTGGTTTAGCTATTCAAATCTATTTAAAAGTATTGACGATAAGTCCCCTTAATTGATTGTGTACTTAATAGTTCACACGTGTAGACAATTTCCTCATTGTACGTGGTTGCACTCGAAAATGTAAAATTATTATTTGTTTGTAGAAAACGGGAATTTTCCAGAAATAATACGGTGACATGTGGTGTGATATATCACGTGTTTCAGCATCGTCTGTTGTATTAACAAAATGCAACGTTCTAAACTCCCGTTTTAACAATACTAAATATAGATAGTTTTCTCCTGATAAGAGAATTCTGTGTATATATTTCAAGCGATGTATCTATACAAATTAAATTTTTGTCAATTTCCAAAAGATGTTTGTCTTTTTAAACTTTTAAGTCAAGTTGAGGTAGAAATTAAAAAAAAAACTTGTTCTGAAGTATTTCACATTGCCTGTTATGTATCCTCAAGGTTTTTAATTATATTTTAGTAATAAGATCCGGAGTTATAAATTGCGGTTGACTCATTTTAAGCAGTTGTTTCATTCGATTAATTCATGGCTGTGTCTATTATTTGCATGAAAGCATACAACCCTCGATACATGTAAAGTCCTTGGCTTTTGCTAAAAAAGTATATGGTGGCATGATAGGGGTGGGGGTCATCAGCTACTTGTCCCTTTTCTATCCTCTTTGGCAGATATTTCGCAGCAACATCTTTTCGGTTGTTTGTCTCTAACTTTTTTTGTTGATGGAAATCTATAACTGTACGAGATTTTCAAACATTTTTCACGATCTTTCAGTCGGTGCGTTGCCGTTTTTGAAAGACAAGTGTTTTTCGAAAAATATGCAAAAAGAAAATTACAATGCCGTGATGTGCAATGGATAGAACTTTTTAAATATTTTTTTCTGAATTAGTATACCTAAAAACATAAAATATTTAAAATTCATCGAGACAACTATATCCAGACTTCAAAACTATGTTTCTTGGACTATTTTTATTATAAGAATGACTTACTCTTACTAAGAATTACTCTTTCTTTCGTTATCCCTTCCCCTGTCTTTCCCTCTCCCATCTCCGTCATCTCCCATGTAGGTACTCCTTCCCCACGCTCCCTCTCCCTTTCTCTTCCTCTGTCTCTAGTACGCAATAGTACGCATGCGCCCCTGCGCGCGCGCGCGCGCTCTCTCTCTCTCCCTCTTTAATTAACCTCTTAAGTACAATAACACTGTTGAGTGCTACTGCTGCATATGATCAGAAATCGTAATGTGACCGTAATAAAGCCTGAATTATGCCCCTGTTATAGCCATGGTACGATTTCGCATCATGAACCTGCTATATAAATATTTTTTCTCTAATTTTTATGCATTTCTTTTATAAAAAGAACTATGTAGAAATATACAACGCAACATTCATCTAAAGCTTTGACTACGTTTATTTCGTATGGCATTTTATAAAATTTTTTAGTACATTCATTTTCCAACCATTCCAGTATTTATTTGCTGCCAGTATGAATCAAGTGCTAAATTTTTCTAGTTATTTCTTTGTCCGAGTATGATAACGTTATTGCATTACTCCGTTCTGCACATCATATTTTGTATAGCAGATTTTCTTGCAGTTTTCTTTTTCTTTTTTTTTATAACAGTTTTTACGAGTACAGACAATACTAGACTCAGCACTGCTAAAATGAATTTTGTGATTGCTGCTCTAATCCATTTAGAACTTTTGTTGATAAGTTTTCTAAATTGATTGTTTAATAGTTCTAACACATAGTTACTTTCTGTGTTATAAGTAGTTTCACTCGAAAATGTGGCAGTATCGTATATATCTGAATAATTGGTAATCTTCTTAATATAGTAGGGTGAAGTGGCATTATGTATAATCTGTTTTAGTATCGTTTGTTGTACTAAAAACCGTCATTATTATAGAAAAAAATTTTTTTTTTAAATATTAACAATTTTGAGCAAGCAATAACTAGTAAATCATTAATACACATTCAATAATGCAAAATCTAATAAAAATAGCTTGTAGAGTTTGTCTTTTTACTGTTTAAACTGTGGTAAATTTAAATCAGTTAATTTTTAATGTGACGTTATCAGACAGTTAAATGAGCAGATTTGCTAACACACACCAGTGAAATACAATAGTTTTTGTTATTTAAATTATTATAGTTGTATAAAATAATTTCAAGAATCTAATAAGTTTCCAAAAAAAAAATTTTTAATTTTGATGAAATTCATATTATTGATGGTTTTTAAAAAATAAAAATGATTTTTTCCGCCCTCGGGTGGTTTTGGGAGGCTAGTACTTCCTCGGGCAAAAAAGCAGTTTTCCGGAACTCGTTCGAAAAGTCTCCTTTACGAACCTCGTTACGTCCCTCGCCTTCGGCTCGGGCCGCAAACCTCTCGGTTCGCAAACAAAGACTTTTCAAGCTCGTAGGAAAACTACCATTTCCACCCTCGGGTGGTTTTGGGAGGCTGGTACTTCCTCGGGCGAAAAAGCAGTTTTCCGGAACTCGTTCGAAAAGTCTCCTTTACGAACCTCGTTACGTCCCTCGCCTTCGGCTCGGGCCGCAAACCTCTCGGTTCGCAAACAGAGACTTTTCAAACTCGTAGGAAAACTACCATTTTTTAACGATCACTTCATTTGTTTTAGAGGCGAGGGGGGCTTTGCACTCCCCCATACCTCCTACGGGGGCTTTGCCCCCTAGTCTCTCACCAGGGGCTGCCACCCCTGGGCCCCGCACAACCTCTATTGCAAATTATACATTTACCACCTCAGTTTGAGTACATTAACTTTAAATAATGGAAAAACGTCCATTACACTCACTATTTACGAAGTATACCTCGTATGTATGTAAATAGTACAAGATACGTAAGCCTTTGATGTGTTCTTTTAATTAACTACTTCAAAATTTATACTAATTTTTATAGCATATATTATAACAAATTTTGCACGTAAGTCGTGAAGACGTTTTCTCGTACTCATATGATCGCACTCGATATTGATGCCAGTAATTCGTACCATGTGATCAAACTCGTGTCACACAATTGTGTGATCGACTGGCATTTATTTCCGTCGACTTTGACCACTGGTGCGCATTAATCTGAACTTTCAATATTTTTTAAAATTTAAGTACAAAAAGATAATTATTCATATGAGTATCATCTATTATCTATTATATTATATCTATTATACTTTAAATTTCATGTGCTTTAAATAAATCTCACTTTGCACCCTTAAAGAGAAAAACATTATATGCCACTCGAGCGCAAGCCTTTGCACCCTTGGGCGAACTTTGCGCCCTTCAACTACTTTGGGCCCTAGGGCGCAAAGTACTTTTTTGCTCATGGGCCCATAGTAGTTGGCGGGCTTAAAGTTCGCACAAGGGCACAAAGTGAGTCTTTGCGCTCTAGTGGCGTAATGTACTATTAAAAAATTGAATCATGTACAATTTCTAACAAATTTTTTTGTTTTCGTTCCCAAGATAAAATTAAAATTTATTTTAAACAAAATGGTAGTTTTCCTACGAGTTTAAAAAGTCTCTGTTTGCGAACCAAGACGTTTGCGGCCCGAGCCGAAGGCGAGGGACGTAACGAGGTTCGTAAAGGAGACTTTTCGAACGAGTTCCGGAAAACTGCTTTTTCGCCCGAGGAAGTAACAGCCTCCCAAAACCACCCGAGGGCGGAAAAGGTAGTTTTTAAGCTTTTGTGATTGCATGTGTGAGAACTCGAGAGCTGTTATCGACGAAATCTCAAGATTAAGCAGCTGCTGGGTGTGTGTGCATATATGTATCTAATATTTTATTTACATTTAGAAACGCTTACGAAATAATAAGTAGTATGTCGAAGGCTTATATTTTTTTAAACAATTTAATGCTTTCGTACAAATATTTCATCATCCAATATTTTGAATTACTAAACAAACGACGTAATTTGCATTTGTTCACCAATATTGTTTGGTTGGATGGATTAGAGATGATGATATTTATTTCTTTTATTCCTATGGGTAAAAATTAAGATTTTATCTACGAAACTATCCAAAAACATTATTATAAAGAACTACGTTTGGAATTACCGATCATTTCTGTTAATATGACTACATGATACCTGTACTTTTTTAAAGGTTTGTTTTTTTTTCTTTCTTACCGTAAAAACTCACCTCATAAGGCACATACTGCCCGATGGTTGGCAATGAAAGCTTTTTGCAAAAACATCAAACGTCTCTTGGTACGAAATCAACGTGAACGGCCTGTAATACACTGGTGATTCGTTACCAAACTCCAGAGTAAAATTGTGATGAGCACACTTTTCCTGAAGATCCACCACAAAAAATCTCAAATAGTGCATGCCAACTTCAGCTGCTGGTGTCTCGATCAGTGCAACAACTAGTTTTCCGTTTCCCAAAACCTTCGCTTCCGGTGCCAGAAAATCACGATCGTCTGACTCGGAAATGACGATGCTGCATTTGTTGTTCATCTCATCGGCAATCGCTTTCGATTCAAATTGGATCACAACATCAGAATTTACTTTTGGATAGGACACGTAGACCAACTGGTTAAAGTATTTCAGTATCGTTGGTTCGTAAAAAGAATAACTGGTGATGTGCGCAAGATTTCCTGCAGTGATGTCATGCGAGTCTGCTTTCATGATGGATATGTAGAAAAAGATCACTATTGTGACTGTTGTTACAAGGAAACGAGTGTTTGGACACATCTTCGGGCTATTGAAAAAAAAAAAGAAAGAAAAAAAAACATAAATCTTAGATAGAAGTTTTGAATGTCAATCCATAGAAGGGTAAGTTTTGAATCGGATGAATGGCGAGCATTATAAGTTTGCGCAGAACATCAACGCACAATCATTAGATTATTTTCAACGACTTCTCTGTGAAAATTGAGCCGCGAAAAAATGATTGATCCCATCAAGTGTTTGACTAATTGTAAGAAAAAGAGGAGAATTAATTACTTTTTGCAAAACACTAAAATCCAAATTTTTAAGGACTGAAAACTTTTTAACCTTCAAACTACACATCTTACGAAAAAATCACAAGAGATATTTTTGTTGAAAACAAGCCAAAAGGTTAAAAAAAAAATATTTATGTATTTTTTGAGACTTCTAACTTTTTGCAATGACTAATGAAAAATCTTTCACAATTAACTTCTTGATCTTTTTTAATGAAACAATGTGACGACAGCACGTAAAAATGATGTTGCCAAATTCGTGATAAATATCAACTGCTTGCAAGAAACTCCCCTCCCCCCGTTCACCGCTCCAAACTATTTTGTACTTACATATTTTTTTGAATGTCAGCTAAAATATGAACATAAAAGCTTTTTCTTTAAATTATTGATTTAAACTATGTTTTACCACGAAGTAACCTTAAACATATGATCGAACGTCTAAATACACCCAACCAATCATCCACGAGATGAAAATGTAAGTGTTCATATACATCATCATGTCAAAGATAAGTTTGGCTCTACTATCATTTTTTACAAATGTCATATATTAAAACACTGGAAAATAACATGGATAAGCAAAAAAATTGTTTGCGAAAAAACATTGCCACGTTTCAATAACTGTATAAAATAAAATCTAACTAAGAGTTATTCGGCGAAAAATATTTTTCGATGTACTAAATGCAAAACAAAAATTAACTCCATAATAAAAATCGAATTCCCTGATGACGCCAGCAACAACAACAAAATAGGATCACAAAATCGATCAAAGCCCGGGATTTGCCGGCACAACAATCACCACCAGCACAGACAGCACTTTACCTATTTATTTCCGCACGGTGAGTATGATTATAAACACAGTCTCAAGCCGGGGAGTCCACGCAACCATTAGGCTTCTCTCTCTCTCTCTCCCTCTTAGCCTGCGACTCTCGACGCTCCATCCGCCGCGCGCAAAAGCCGATTACTTAATCTACAGCCTCCACAAGCATAAACGTGTGCTGTATGGATGGGTGGCCGACCTAATCGCCAGTTCAAACATGACCTCTACAATGAGGCGTCACACCAGCGATTTACCCCTTTGTTGTTCTCCTTCTCTTTCCCATCTTGCGTGACTGTTGATCTACACGAGTTTTTTCTGAGAGTACTTGAGTGATTTTAATAATTAGGTCGGGGGTCTGCAACTATGGATTGGCCTCAAGTGCCTCGAGCCAATAATCATTAGCAAATGTTGTTTGATATTATTATATTCCTGATTATGACACTAATAAATTGTGGGTGGAGAATGATTGCAAATAAAATAACGCGGTGATTTCAAAAATGTTATTACTTTAAAACAATTATCAGCATCGATTGTCACAAATTGTCCAAACGATTACGCCAAGTTTCTTTTTCTCGTCGATTTATTTAAACGGTCTCGTCTACTGATTTTAACTTTATACATCTTGTATGAACCTCTTCATCACACGTGACAACGATACAGTACTTGTTATTCTCCATGTGGAAGTTTTGTACGTCATAAATCTCACAGGAAATATTGGAAATGTGCACCGAATCGGTGGTCCAGATTCCCTCTGGTCCGATTCTTTGAGTGTAAATCGACGTATACTTCAATTTAACTCCGTATGTTAAAATTACACCTCCATCGGCTGTATTGATAACATTAAAGTGAACCAGTGTCCTGTGCGTTAAACCCTTTTTCAATGCGTAATTTAATACAACGTTGACATGTTCACGTAATCTGTTGTCCAGCTGTGAACAATGTATTGATTGTTGACTTTCGTAATACCGACAAACAGTGAAGTTGCCAAACTGTGTTGAGTACGAGTCAAAGTCAAATGCGTGGAGCTTCGAGTGCTTGAGCTTCGTAATGCTGGTGACTTTTAATTCCGAATTTAAACGCTTGATTACAGTTGTGAAGGTAGTGGGTTTATTTTGCACGTAGAAGTAACCCTCTCTGTAATCGTACTCTTTGACACTGTGCATTCTTACTGTGTTGGGTCTGTAGAATGGTTTGGAATCCAAATCTGAAATTATTAAAAAGTTGTAACTAGTTAGGTCGTAAGGTTAACCGAAATTAATGTATGCCATAACTTTTATGATTGAAATTCATTGAAGAATGTCATATTAAGTGTTTTAATAATTTTTTTCAACATTCACATTATTGACCAGAAATTTTGTTTTATTTTTCTACTAATAACTGATTTACGTGGCTACTGACAAAGTTAGAATCATAACTCAGCAGTGTGATAAAAAAAGACTCCTGAATATTATTATTTCTAATGATTTATTGAATCAATAAGAACAATAATTTACCTGGTATGGTAGATATTCTAAACGACGATACAGGATTGCCTACATCATTGTACCGATAAACGTAAATAAATCTCGTAATCTCGTGTGTTAAACTTGTAATGAGGATGTCAAAAGTGTCATTATAACCTAAAATTCCAATCACGTCGATAGGATATGGATCCGAATCTGGTAACTCAAAGTCTTGGTAAGTACACGTACGCGGATCCACAATAACGAATCTCCACTCCCCGAGGTGCTTGTAAGGTGTCAGTCGATAGTTCAACAACCAAATGACGATTTTACCGTTTCCAAGACTGGCAGCCCGCCTGGGATACCGAGAGGAATAGCGAAGCTTTAAGGATACTAAACAAGTCGTGAAGTCCGTAGATTCTAATCTGATGGGATAATCTGAGTGCCAAGAATCCAACACGTGTACTAGGGTATTGTTTGATTTAATAACTAGAGGCATTGATATGTGGATGTGTCGAATGACGGACCAAGTCGTGGTGGCATTATAGGTTTCGTTGGTGAAAAAGTTATCAGTTGAAGTCACAAGTAGAGTTGCAACAAGAATGAAGATGAAGAGAGACATGGTTTGAGTTTGAACATTGAAAAGCTGGAATAAATAATTTGCGTAATAATTACATCACCTTACATCTAATACATGTATAAATAATCACGAAGTAAATATATATTAATACGAGAGAAATGTCTAGTCAAATAAAACTAATTACCTTTTTAGCTGATCTTGTTTTTTAATAGAAAATTTCCGTTTTAACTGTTTATTTTCAAAAAAATGTTTACATCGTTGCTTCAAACACTTATATAGGATCCGTTGGACTACAGTCTTTGGCGCACGTCTTTTTCAACTAACAAGAAAACTCTGATAGTTTATCGCTGCTTTCTTGTATTACGTGATAATCAGACTATCTTTGGGGAATTCAAAACATCGAATTTATTTCATCACTTCCTCTACGTTTTATGTTATAATGATATCCATAATAATCGGCAATAACAAAAGGTCAATCCTATTAACTAAAATCTTTTGCTGCAAAAGTGTGATATTTTTTATTTACAATTAACTAAAAGTGCAAACACGTCGAAAGAATAAAAATATACAGCCCAACACCTACATTAAACTCTAGACATATCAACTTCAATCGCTAATAAAAAATTTAGCAAAAAACAAGAACTACGTAACTTTATATTTAAAAATTTACGTAACGAAGCATGTTATGTGACTTATTCCTTCAATTCATAAATCTTAACGTAGCGCTGTCTCGCTGAATTATCAATTATTTTTTCCGTTTACGATTCTCCAGAGCAGCTGATAATGCAGATACACACGTGTGTCAAGTTCATTTCGGCTAAACCAAGATATATTATCACCTCTCTGTGACATACTGTCGTGTGACCAATTTTTTATATCAAAGCTGTAAGTATGATAGGATATTTTACCAATTTTAAGTGGATCTCGTAATTTTTTCGTGTCCACTAAGTAGCAAGGCTATGTGATTAAAGGTCAACTTCTATTTAGTATTACTAAAAGGAAAATTCCGAGTCTATCAGTTATTCTACGTGAGTAATCTATTGACCTGCCTACAATGTCACCCAAAAAAATAGCTGTTACATTGCACGTAATACTTAAACACATAATATTAAATAATATTGCAACGACAGTTATAGTTTGGAACATCAGACAAGTTGGATTGGCTTAGAGAGTCTAAGATGATAATTTATTACCAAATATTTCTACCATAAACAGTAGCAAGAAATCGAAACGATGTACAAATTTTTAAATAATTTAACCTGGACTTCAACCGTATGATGTATGTTAGTAAAACTTGTGTCAACTCAAGTAAATTTGAAGTACGCATACAAATTTATGATAAAAATAATATACATTAATTTACATTGTAATCACTCGTTGTTATCTTGCCAAACCTGTTCCATCTAACCCAACTACTCAGAATATGACTCTTCCACAAATCCCCGTCAATCCCGATTTTTAAGAGTGTGTGCAAAAAAAATGCTGCTAAGGTAAGACCCGAATTCGCTGTTAACGGTAATATATAGCGCGAGCAAAGCCCCGTGTAACTTCCTCGAGCGCAAAACTACTTGAGGCTCGACCACAGCAGTACTATACACCATCCCAGATTCTGGTGATGCTCCGATCTGTTCATCAAGTCTTTCCCTTCCCAGCTGCCCTCGTTACTTTGCCATTAATCCCGTGCACTGGGAGAAGTTCGAGAGGGTGATTTTTGTTTCTCGTCCCCGAATGGCTAGACTTTGCGACTTTCGAAAGCATTGTGGCAAAGTATCTGGATTTGACGGTGGGAAATTCGCTGATGGAGGCATTGCTTGAGGCTTTGTTGTCCTGTTTATTTTATTTATTATTTTTTTTTTTTTTCAGAAAAGATTACCTTTTACCAGAGTCTAGAGCCTTTTTTTTTTCGGTAAAATCTT